CTGAAATCTCCAATTTCAGCAATTAAACAATATTTAAACATTTATACAAACAATACAGTAAAAACTAGATTTAACTCAATTAAATATGTAAAATAATGTCATGCAAAGCTATCCTTCATGTGCTTAGTGTTTGTAAGCAAAGTCTTTGTCAGCTGGATCTTGGTCTTAAATTTGTAAAAAATAATGTCTCGTGCTGGCTGAGGAATTCTGTGAAATCAAAGTCCACAAGTCTTACAGTTGCCGAGGCTGAAGATTCTTGACTTATAGAGCATGATCTCCAGTTCTCAAAATGGCTGGGAGGATCTCTGGGTAGCCCCTATAGCCGTCTTTCTCAACCTTGGCAACTTTAAGATTTGTGGACTTCAACTCCCAGAATTCCCCTGGCTTAAGATATGAACGCCCCCTATCTTGAAATCGCCAAGGTTGACAAACACTGCCCCACAGTGGGCAAAAAGTCACAAGTGGCCAGAAAGCAAAGCTGCTGCAATCTTACATCAGTCCTGCAGATGGCACTGTTTGCTCATTTTACTTGCTTGGGCCAATGAGCCCCGCGCACACAATGGAATAAGACTACGTCAAGCTGGTCTGAAAGCAACTGGAGGATTCTGGGAGATGGAGTTTTCCTCTTTCCTGCAAGCCTAGATCAAGGAAGGCAGGTTTAGAAACACGCCGGCTTTTCCTTCAAGCTTTCTGGGCTTGAAACCTGACAACGAAATATACAGGTAGAATGGCCGAATCTTAAAACTGATAGGGACAATTGCTCAGAGCAGGGATCCAAATCCAAGCATGCCCAAGAGGTCGGAGGGGATAATTTGGAGACTTCAGAAAAATATCTGGAAAATAACCCACAATTTCAGAGGGAGGGGTGTTGTTTAGTGTATTTAGGTTTTGCAAGGTTAACTAAGTTTTGTATATTTGTGCAGGTAGGTATAGAATGAAATGTCAATAGGATGACAAAGTGGGTGTTTCAAAGGAGCTTTTTTCTTCCAAAGGCAACTGGACTGGATTTTTTTCCTTTAGGAGGAAGAAGAAGATGGCAGCGGGGGGGGGGGGGAGGAGGGAGGGAGGATGGAAGGATATCCATCAGAACTGATGATGCTTCTTGGATGAGAAGTGAAATAACTTCTTCTTCTTCTTCTTCTTCTTCTTCTTCTTCTTCTTCTTCTTCTTCTTCTTCTTCTTCTTCTTCTTCTTCTTCTTCTTCTCCTCCTCCTCCTTCTTCTCCTTTTTCTTCTCCTCCTCCTCCTCCTCCTCCTCCTCCTCCTCCTCCTCCTCCTCTTCTTCTTCTTCTTCTTCTTCTTCTTCTTCTTCTTCTTCTTCTTCTTCTTCTTCTTCTTCTTCTTCTTCTTCTTCTTCTTCTTCTCCCTTCTCCTCCTCCTGCTCCTTCTTCACCTTTTTCTTCTCCTTCTCCTCCTCCTCCTCCTCCTCCTCCTCCTCCTCCTCCTCCTCCTCCTCCTCCTTCCTCAAAGAAAAAAACAGTCCAGTTGCCTTTTGAAGGGAAAAAAAAAGCAACTTTGAGACAAATATGACCTTGGGATGACTGAGAATCTCCAGAGGCGTCAGAGTGGGTGATTTTCGTCTTGTGATTTTGTGACATTTAATTGCTAGTCTTTGCTCTTGTTAATTTCTGTGTGGGCAGTCTGAAATTTAACGTCTTGCCTATTGCAAAAATCGAGAAGATCTGAAATTGTTAAAGAAATGAGCTGCATTAGAAAGATATCTGTCCTGTTGCCAAATTCCTGGCCAGGCATTATTACCATTAATTATTCTTTCAAAGTTGAGGTTTATGTTGGCTCCAGCAAAAGGCTCTTTTGTGGCCAAACAGGTTAGTCATTGTCTGGAATGAGCCTGTTTTCCTTCCCTCTGGAAACACAACTTTGAGGCATGGAATTGGACAATGACAAGCTGTTAAGAGAATTCCTGGAAACAATGCCCCATTTTATTGACTTTCTTGGAGGAGGGTAAGAAAGTTGATTGTTGGCTTCTCCATCCTGCTCTCTTAGACATGCTTTCTCTTGGTTGGGATGAAGAAAAGGTAGGGAAAGTGTTTGGAAAGAATGGGGATTCATTGAGAAGAATGTTGGTCTCAGCACTCATCATGGCAGGCTGGGGAATTCTGAGAGTTGAAGTCCATAAGTCTTAAAATTGTCAAGTTTGTAGACCCATGAGGTAGATTTCTACTTGTGTGGCCTTGACCAAGATGTCCTTCAACTCTTTCAAAATTAACTGGATCAATTATTATTTATTGATTATGCAATGGATAATACTGCCTTTGATTTATTCCAACATTCACACTTCTAGCAATAAAATAATAATGCCAACTGTAAATGAGAGATAATTAAAATCCATGAAAATCAAAGCCAATGTTAACATTGGTCATTAAGATAATTAACAATGAAAAGCTTGGCAAAAGACATGTACTTTGAGCAACTTCATAAATACTAGAAAGCCTTTGGGAACGTTAACACCACGAGCCACACAGGAGAAGGACTGGTTAAACTTCTAGTAATGAGCTGTGAAAGTAATCAAATGAGACTTCTAATCTCCTTGCACACTTAGAGCAGTGCATAAATGATGATGGAGGGACAGGAATAACACTCTTCCCTTCGAAATCAAGACATCAAACAAGAAACAGGTTGACCCATTGCAGTTTCAGTATCCGGGTGACAGTTAAGCAGAAGACATGGCCGGCAGGCACCTTGACAGGAAGCTGTACATAAAACAGGTGGAACAACGCACCATCCACCCATCATTGCACATGTCAATTTCTGGTGTGAAATCATAGGAATAGCACTGTGGAACATTTGCATCCAGGCAGAAAAGGTAAAGGTGAACCAAGTCACTGGCAACAAACTCGCTTCCTGTAGAACAATGAAAGAGAGGAAGGTCAGTCCCGAGGGATGTTGAATGGAGACAGGTGTGATGGAATGTCATCTGGATTCCCAGGAGGGAGGGGGCTTCTTCCCAGAGGGCAAAGAAGCAGTGGAACCTGAAATGTTTGGTAGGGGCAGGAAGAGGGTGAAGGCCGTTCCTCTCTGGTAGTTCGAGACTATAGTTACAGCAACAGTGGCTTTAGTTTGGCAAGATTCTGTCTATAGGTAGGTGAAGAACAGCAAAAGACGTTACTCTTAAGTCACTTCACATGCCATTTTTGGTTCTTGAGCTTGACAGCAGGACACGTCAGTATTGAGGCAGTAGATGATTACAGACTATTGGTATTAGGATTTGCGTCCACACCAGTAGCTGCTATCCAATCAGCAATCAGTTCCTAGCCAATCCATGACTGATTTTTGTTTTGTATCCCATCGATCAAGTCATTCGGTACCACCTTCAGCCCATTAGAATAGAGCTGGAAGGGACCTTGGAGGTCTTCTAGTCCAGCCCTCTGGTCATGCAGGAGAACCTATACTGTCTCAGGCAGGTAATCAAGATTTTGCCAGGACACCGGATCCTTGGCCCGAACTTCAGACTGAGAGTCAGTTTGATGTAGTGGTGAAGGCACCAGGCTAGAAACTGGGAGATTGTGAGTTCTAGTCCTGCCTTAGGCGTAAAGCCAGCTGGGTGACCTTGAGCCAGCCACTCTCTCCCAGCCCTAGGAAGGAGACAATGGCGATCCATTTCCAAAATCCTGCCGAGAAAACCTGCAGAGACTTATCCAGGCAGTCATTATGAATCAAAACTGACTCAAAGTCAAAAAAAAAACTTCGGAACCCTGGCAAGGATGGTAAGATTGTGCATCTTACGAAGCAAAAATAAATCCCACCCAGGAAAACACTAGCCCAGAATTCTCCTAAAATGAATCCCCTTCGTCTTGATTCTATCTGCTGTCCAAATCTGTACCCTTCACATATAATTCTAGCACTGTGAGGAATACAAGCTACCCTTCACAAGCCCCTCTCCACTCACTTCAGAAACTGGACAACACACACTGCAGATCGGTTTTCTTCCTTTATTGGTAACGCTGATGTTTGGTATGTACACTTTTCATTTCATTTTTCTCTTAAAAATCCTTTCTGTGAACACCATCCTTCCATCGGGGTCTACAGTGGAAGGTTTGCATTGCCTGATGCTTTAAATCTAACCATGAAGAAATGGGTGGATGAGAGAGAGGAGAAAGAGGAAGGAAGGAAGGAGGGAGGGAGGAAGGAAGGAAGGAAGGAAGGAAGGAAGGAGGAAGGAATAGATGGAAGGAAAGAAGGGACCAGGAAGGGAGGGAGGAAGGAAGGAATGGACAAAAGGAAGGAAGGAGGGAAGAAGGGAGGGAGGGATGGGCAGAAGAAAGGGAGGGAGGGAGAGAGGGAGGGAGGGAGGAAGAAAGGAAGGAAGGAATGAACAGAAGGGAGGGAGGGAAGGAAGGAAAGGAAGGAAGGAAGGGGAAGAAAAATAAAACGTGAAGCGTTCAAATTTGGCCTTTTTTATAGCATGTCAATTTCAAATGTCTGGGTCACTCCATCTGTTGTAGATCACAAAATGCGTGAAACATGACTGGTTTTATGTAAAGATACGCCTTTTTTTAAAAAAAGGTAGTCCTTGAGTTACAATCCTTCATTTCGTGACCGTTTGAAGTTAACATGGCACTGAAAAAGGTGACTTATGACCATTTTTCACGCAACGGTTGCCGCATTCCCATGGTCACGTGATCAAAATTAGACTACTTGGAAACTGACACGTACTTGTGACGGTTGCAATGTCCGGGGTGTGGTGTGTGTGTTCCTGTGATCGTGAGATTCTGAGAAGCAATGGGGAAGCTAAATTCATTTAACAGCCATCTTCCTAAACCGCTGCTGTGGTTCCCTTAACCACCATGGCAAGGCAGGGCATAACATGGGTCGAAAGTCACTTAACCGCTTGTCTTGCTTAGCGATGGAAATTTGAGGCACAATTGTGGTGATAAGTTGAGGACAACCTGTAGTTTAAAAAATAAGCTTTTTCCCCGGGACTCCCATCATGTTTCAATGCTTTACACAAAATCCCAGGCAACCTGGGCCTCTGCATTGGCCTTTTTTTTTTTGCAACACCGTGTAAAAAAGAAACAGGAATGACAAATGAACCGGTAAGGAATGGCAGAGCTCAAAGCTCTTCACGGAAGAAAAGCAGGGCCCCTTTGAGCGAATCGGAGCTGAAACTGATAAGACCCCTAATGCAACCTGGAAAGTTCAGAGGGCAAATTCAGAATATAAAGTTCTCCCTTTCAACAGTTGAGTTAGAGGTTGGGAGGCCTGAAGGCTTTCCAAAGCTTCCGTAATTGGAACTTTCTCAAGATTCAGGATGCTGGTATAATTTCATTTCATGTCCAACTTGACACGAAGAACAAGATCTGTCCACTGCTGGGCCTGATTCTTTCAGACTGTAAAAGTCTCAACTCTCCGTTTTTCTCCTCTAAATTTAGAAGCGTAGCATGTTGGGAGTCGGTGCTGAAGGTACCGACTTCCTAGCATGCTAACTTTCTACATTTAGGACCAGTGGTGGGATTCAGCCAGTTTGCATTGGTTCGGCAGAACCGGTAGCTAATTTTTTGTTGCCCAGGCCCAGAATCGACTTCCGGAAGCGGCATCTACACAGAGAACCGGTTGTTCACCTATTTGAATCCCCCCACTGTTTAAGGAGTATATTTTGATATCTTCCTACAGTTTGCTAATGATTGGTTTCAAAAAAGGGGAACAAGATTGCTGTGGTATCTTAGCAGTAGCCTGCCAATCTAGAACAGCGAACAATAATATCGGGTCCAAATAGCTTAAATGTTGAGATGAAAGAAAGGAGAAGAAATCTAGCAAATTCTGAATTCTAACAAGCTTTGGGAGAAGGAAGGATTTGATGGGACTTGCTTCCAAGTCAATGTGCTTTATCAGATGAAACAGTTGTTTCAAGTAGTGGTATTGAATAGGTTGGGCTGGTACCAGACAAGCCTCTGAATTAGGATATAGTTCTATTTCTAATGGTGGGTAAGGCATAGGACTCTTACACATCAAAACATATATAAATGGCGGGTTAGGAAAGGGGTCAATGTGCTCAGCAAGCCAGCCAGTCTGATTTCACATTGCCGACTTTAACAATCTTTAAGCTTTGATCTTCCAGTTTCAGGTAGTACCAGTCCTTGAAAAAGTAGCTGTGGCCTGTAAGAAGAAAACAAATCTTAGCCAATTTACATAAAATCACACTTCTGTGACTCGCTAGAGCAGGTGCCTACATAACCTGGGAGTCAGCTCAATGGTTGGGTTCACACATGCCTAGGGAACCCAGATGAGCAACGGTTGTGCTTATAGGCCTCCAAAAATAAATCATGTTATGGGTTGCCATAATGCTATGAGTCACAAATTAAAGTAAGCTTCCAAAGGTGCTTTTTCAGGAGGTAACTGGACTCTCTGTTTTTGTTTGTTTGTTTGTTTGTTTTGAAGATGTTTTGCTTCTCATCCAAGAAACTTCTTCAGCTCTGCCTGGATGGTGGGCCTCAACGACGCTCTAAAAAAATGCAAATGACCAGCTGTCTGAAAGGAGGATAAATCCTTCCATTGCCCAGTGGCCTGGTGAAAAAGCACCTTTGGGATAATTATGACCTGGTTGACTGAGAATCTCCATAGACATTGACATAAGATGTTGCTGAACCATCAGCTCTACTCTAGGGAAACGTAATGTAGAGTACTGTGGGAACTCTGTGATTCCTCTTCAATCTCCATCTGACCCATCAAGTTACTTTATGTTCCACAAAGATGTTTAAGGAAACCATTCTTCCACTTTTTTTTTTGCCTTCATCCCAAATCCTGCCCCATTCTTTTCAGACTTCTTATCTCTTATCTCCAGATTGGGCTAGAAATTGCCATCATTTCCAAGGTTACATCCTTTTTTTTTTTTTGACTTGCGAACGAAAGTAAATATACAGGTGCCCAGTGATCCACTCAGAACCCAATTTGAGTGGATCACTGGGAGCAAAGATCTATTCCCCCAAGCTTTTGGGCTCAGGCTGGAGCCCACCCTCAGGGAAATTGTTTTTGTGATTTGTTGAAAGTCACCCTTCCCAAGTAGGACAATTTGGGTTATACAGTTCAGCAGAAGCTGCGTGGTTTAAAATATCCATTCTACCCTTCGACCACCATTCCCAGTTCCTCTAAACACCACCATCACACACACACCCCCTCCAAAAAAGATCAAATTTTTCTCCCAATCCATTCTGGAAATGCTGCATCTTTTATAGTTGCACCCCCAGGGGGGGCGGGGGAGAAGCTTTTTCCTATGATTGATAGCTAGGCAAATCTCCATCCCAATGCATAATCCATAAATGAGGGCTTAAAGCAGTGGTTCTCAACCTGTGGGTTGGGACCCCATTTGGGGTCGAACGACCATTTCACGGGGGTCGCCAAACAACGCAGTCCGCCATTTTTTCCCCCTTTTCCTTAGCTGTGCTACTCCCTTTTATTCTATTGGCTTTTGAAAGCCAATAGAATAGACTCTCTTGAATAGAGTCTAATTCTATTGGCTTTCAAAAGCCAATAGGAATTGTCCAGGCTGTCTCTGCCCTGCTGAGCCCACCAAAAGTCCCAGTCTGCAAACGGTGCTGCACCAGTTGAGTAGTCCTCGACTTATGCTCGGTTTGGGGTCGTGGCATTAAAAAGGTTGAGAACCACTGGCTTAAAGGAATCGGTCCATTGCAATTGTAAAACCTTGACCGAATGAAGGCTATTCTTTCAAGAAGCCAGTAAGAATCATGTTACTGGAAATATTTTTTTCCCCTTCCCTTCTTTTCAAGCATGCCTTTTAAAAAAAAGGGGGTGGTGGTGGTAGATGGGGACAGAAAGTTAAAAGCTTGAATTTGAGCTTCCATTCCTCTTTCCCAACTCAACCCCTGTGAAAAGTTCTCAGCCGTTTGTTTAGGACATTCGGTTCAAAGGAGGTTTTTTTTTTTCCCCTGCTTGACTAATAAAGGTAGGATTCCTTAACTAGAATCTGTGCTGCATTAAAAAGGGGGTTAGGCTTACTCTGCTGGAGACGAGTTATCCAGACAGGCCAGCCACGTTTAGCAAAGGTCACCCTTCCTAAATTTCCTTACAGCAGTGGGAGATTTTCACCAAAGGGAGAAATTTACGCTGGAAGCAGGCAGATTGCCAAAGCGGTCTGCCTATTCAGTGACCGCAGCAGCCGACTGTGTCTCCAAAAATAATGCAGTAGCAGGCTGGAGTACAGTAATCAATCTCTCTCTCCTACCCCCTTCCAGATATATATTTTAAAAAAAAAATCTTAGAAAACAAGATGGCAGCTCACCACTTCCGCTGACTTCCAGGGCAGCATCTAAATTGTCTGGGACACCGTTCCAAGCATCTGCAATTAATTTAGGAAACCCAGGATCCATTTTCTTCTTTACTTCGTTGTATCTGTAAAATACACAGGAGCAGAAAACACACGTTCCTTTCTCACCTATTATCCTGGTCATCTTTTCATCTTTCCAATTGCCTTTTTCCTTAGCTTCTTATGACTACTATAACTTTGTTGTTTGTGTCTCATGATTTATGTCGATGGACTTTATTTAGTAGCCTGTTATGATTTATATTGTTTGCTTGTTTAGCATCCTATGGTTGTCACTGAGTTTGTATCTTATGATTGATGATGGTTGTATTTTAGGATTATGATGGTGTTTTATCACTCATAGCTTGTATGTACACTAAGAGCTTCTGTACCGGAGACAAATTCCTTGTGTGTCCAATCACCCATGGCCAATAAAGAATTCTACCTTCTATCTTCTGAACTTAATTGGACTTGGAAAAAGGTGCTGGAAACGTGTGAATCGGTGCAATTTTCCTAACTTCCTGATGCTGCGGTTTCCCAGCACTGGAGTTGCAGGATTCCTTACCGCCAAAATTTGTCCCCTGCAAAAATGTAAGTCTTCTTGTTTTTGCTCCAGTTAAATGCGGCATTGACACGTTGAACATCTGGAGGCAGCCCAAGATTGGTAAGCCTCTTCGGATACCCTCTTTCCAAGGTGCTGGCTGTATAAACCCAGTATTCATTTCCTAGGAAAATAAAGCATCAAGTTCTCACCGTCTCTCTTGAGATTGAGAAGAAGGGGAAAGGGGTTTTCTCAGTCAAAGGGTCTTGGATTTCAGGAAGGGAAGCTAAACTATGTAAATTAGGAAGGTAAATTAGGACAGACCAAACAGTCCATTTCAGAATGTACCCCCTACTCTTTAACATTATCTCTACGCGGGACAGAATTGTGCACAACATAGGAAAGTGTCCTCCTGCTTCGTTTGTTCCTTTCTGTGGTTGCCTGCTTTGGGCAAATTAAAGGCTGTGGATTTGACTAGAGCAGTGGTGGCGAACCTATGGCACGGGTGCCAGAGGTGGCACTCAGAGCCCTCTCTGTGGGCACGCGCGCTGTCGCCCCAGTCCTAGGGCTTCAGCTGGGTTTTATAAAACCTTTTCGCTTTAGGCCTCCGCCACCATCACTGGACTAGAAGAAGACATGAAGACTCGTTGAGGTTGGGCTGTAGGAGGTGACCAAGCTGAGCTTGTGTGTGTGTGTGTCGAACTCATCAAATGAAAAAAGTAACTAGGGGTAACATGATAGCAGTGCTCCAATATTTGAGGGACGGCCACAGGGAAGGGGGGGGGTCCTGTTCCTCTGGTTAATGATACTCACTATTAGGAAGTTTCTCCTTAGTTCTAGGTTGCTCCTCTCCTTGATTAATTCCCATCCATTGCTTTTTCACCTGCCTTCAGGTGATTTGGAGAATAGGTTGACTCCCTCTTCTTTGTGGCAGCCCCTCAAATACTGGAGCATTGCTATCATGTCACTCCCAGTCCTTCTTTTCTCTAGATTAGCTGTATCCAGTTCCTGCAACTGTTCTTCATATTTTAGTCTCCAGGCCCTTAATCGTCTTAGTTGCTTTTCTCTGCACTCTTGCCAAAGTCTCAACATCTTCTTTTATAATGAGGCGACCAAAACTGGATGCAGTATGCACCAAGGTTAAAAAATATTGTCCTAAATTTAATTAGCCTATACATTTAGTTAGTAATAAATAAATAGCATTTAAATCTTTGTTCCTCCTAAAAAAAAATCCAGGACGTGAGGCTATAAAGCATGGACTTATAAAATGAAGTGTTTAGGCTATATCCAGTTATCATGTAATACGGTGATTAAAATGCTATTCAGCTATAAAAAAATTCACTCTGCAAGACTTCCCCCCCCCTTCCTTTAAATAAATTTCACTGCATTCCCACTCGTTTTATTCTCCTTCACTCTCTTGTGTTGATTGTGTGTTGTCTTGTAGCAGATCAGAGCAAAAAGATTTGCTATTCATTTTGGTCTGTCTGGGGCAACCACTGAAAACGATTTCCCAGATCACCTGGCGTGGCTGCGTGAAAATAGATCCTCTGCAAATAGATGAACTTTCGAGCGGTTGAAACTTTGGTTCATTGCGTGTCGCCCCTCTCCGAGATATACAAAAAGTCCATTTTCATATAAACATACTTTGCATTCAAATGTGAATGCAATTTTGTGCCGGTTTCAACAACATACTTTTTTAAACCCCCTGTGTAGTTTATTGTACAAAACCTATCCATGCCTTTGTAATGTTTTTCTCTAAAATACAGAAGAGGGGAAGGTTGGGTTGTTTCTAACCGAAACGCAGCCCTACAAAATTTAAAGCAGGGCAATTTTGGAAAGATAACCATGTTTGGGTCAAACCAGGATACAGAATAACAGAGTTGGAAGGGACTTGGAGGTCTTCTAGTCCAGAGGTCCCCAACCTTTTGGGCACCAGGGACCGGTTCCATGGAGAGAGGTTTTTCCGTGGACTGGAGGATGCGTGGTTTTGTGTGTTGCCTGCATCCCACGGATGGGTCTTTGTTTGTTTGTGCGGACCGGTTGCTGGCATGACGCGGACCGGTACCGGTCCACAGACTGGGGGTTGGGGACCCCTGTTCTAGTCCAACTCCCTGTTCATGGCAGGAGACCCTATACCAGTGATGGTGAGCCTTTTAGAGACCGAGTGCCCCAAACCTGCCCCCGCCTCCCCGCCCACCCCCGCTCTGTGTCCTGCCCACCTACATGGCCACCCACCCCTTCCATGGCCCACTGCAGCAGATCGCCATGGCAGCCCAGCAGCGCCATGGCAGCCACGCCCTCCGCCCATGCCCCGCAGCATCATCTGCGTGTGACGGCGTGAGGGCAGAGTTTTGTCCCCGCTGACTGGCTGCCATGCCCTTGGCTGTGCTATTCTGCGCGGACTGCGCTCGGGGGCAACTCTCCCCTGGGGGGCTGCTGGTGAGGAGGACGGGGCCATGGGGGAGGCGGGGCTGGGGCAACAGTGCAGGTGCCCACAGAGAGGGCTCTGAGTGCCACCTCTGGCATGCGTGCCACAGGTTCGCCACCACTGCCCTATATTGTGCTGGACAAATGGCTGTCCAATCTCTTTTTAAAAACCTCCAGTGATGGCTCACCCACAACTTCTGCAGACCGTCCATTCCAGCTTCTTCAAAAACGGGGCAATTGAATGCCAATTTGCATTGACCTACTAAAGAAATGAATTGCTTCCTTCTTCCTAGCATAAAATAATCATGGACTAAGCAACAGTGTGACATTAGAACATCTTCCCAGTTACAATTTCTGGACCTTGGAGGCCAAATCTTCTGAAGAACGTCTAACTGGGGCAGTTAGCTTTACAGACGTCCGTGTGCATGCGTGCGTGTATGTGTGTGTGTGTGTGTGTGTTTGTGTGTGTGTGTGTGTGTGTTTAGATGATTTCAGCCCAACCCTACCTGAAAAAAATACCGACTTCTCTTCCTGAGGGGCTTCATAGACAGCGTCAATTTTTTCTGGAACATCAGTCCAAAAAACAGCAACAAGCAAAGGTCCCGTTGGCCGGCTCCTTTCATTAGCTGTTCTCCAGAAGAATCTAGCCGAAAAGTTACAAGCAACTTTATTAGCAGATGTGCTTTTTAATCCAACTGAGCAAAGTGCATTCATGTGTACACAAGCACAGACACACAAACACACATCTACAACAATGCTTACATTCTACTAGTAGCATAAACATTAAAGTACAGGGGCCTTTGTTATTATTCAATGCATCAATCTTTTATTGGTGGGGCTTGTCCCATGAATTTCTTAATGTGTTGTGCCCAGACATTTACCATTTATAACAATTTTCTCCAACACTCACATTAATTCTTAGCAAAGAACAACAACAACAACAAAGCAAGCAAGAAAGATGGAATAGCGGGTGCTTCAATTATCCTAGCAAATAAACTCATTTACAAGGCACTTAAACTCTTTCAGCCTTCTCCTTCGCTGTACGCCGAACAGATGGATACGCGTTTGGCAAAAGCCAACATTTGTATTGTATTCCATTACTCTGGAAGATTATGATCGTAGCAACTAAAAAAGATCAAATCTAATAATCATCGATCAAACAGCTTGGCTGTAAATGAAACCCGGGAACATTAAAACTGTTCATCAGAGGAATGAAAGGAGCAATTTAGAAGCTGTTGAGCTTGCTACCCTCTTTCGATTTATGAACGCTGCAAAAAACAACAACAAAAAAACCCTAACTCTGGTTTGATTTCAGCAGCAGTATGTAGGAAATTATGGGACAGGATGTTAATAAAAACGTTATTGTGTATTTTTTTTTTCTTCCTCCCTCCCTCTCTGATGAGCAGTTCATTTTGTTTAAAGAACTCCAGAACTAATAGCTGGAACCAGCTGGCCCATTTTTCACGCAACAAGTCTGCAAAAGCTGTATAATAAGACAAAGCTGCCATTTGATAGATATTGAGCAAATGGCTTGTCAGATTACAGTTCTCAGTTGCATTATCTGTTTTTTGTTTTCATTTTTAAGGGAGAGCTAGTTCTCTGGATGAGTGAAATCCCCCCCCCCAACTTTATAGCTGTAATAGTGACATGACCTCAGTTGACAATTTCAACACGTTGGTCCAATTCCCACGTTAAACTTGGTTGTTTTTTTTTGTAAGCGCTCTTTCATTGTGCATGTTATGACACTACCTTGAATTTAAAACTAAACTCTTCTCCCAAACAACCAAGGTTTATAGTAACCCAGCTTAGCCTATTGTGCAAACGCAACTGTTAGAGCTTTCATTAGGGAATTAAACATGGTCCCCATCCAGCTATTGTCACACAAAGCATGGCTCCTTGTGCAGGTAGTCCTCAACTCACCATCACAATTCAGCCCGAAAATTTCTGCTAATAAGCGAGACAATTATTAAGCGAATTTTGCCTCATTTTGCAATCTTTCTTGCTGCAGTTGTTACGGGAATCTCTGCGGTTGTTAAGTTAGCAACACAATTGTTAAGTCAATGTGGCTTCCCCATTGACTTTGCTTGTCAGAAGGTCACAAAAGGGGATCCCATGACCCCGGGACACACTGCAACCGTCATAAATATGAGTCAATTGCCAAACGTCTGGATTTTGATCACCTGACCACGGGGACGCTGCAATAGTCATAAATCTGGAAAATTGTCACTTTTTCCAGTGCAGTTGTAACTCTGAATAGTCACTAAACAAAATATTGTTAGTCAAGGATTACCTGTAAGGGTATGTGAGAATGGCCTACAGAGCTACAGACTGTTGTTGTTATGTTGTTGTTAATTGCGAAGTCGTGTCCGACCCATCACAACCCCATGGACAACGCTCCTCCAGGTCTTCCTGTCCTCCACCATCTTCTGGAGTCCATTTAAGTTCACACCTACTGCTTCAGTGACTCCATCCAGCCATCTCATTCTCTGTCGTCCCCTTCTTCTATTGCCCTCAACAGACTAACCAGCATGTAAAACATGTCTCCAGCCACAGAAGAGTGTGGGAAAAAGAAGGGACCTTCTCTAGATTTCTGGAGAGTAAGGGAGGAGATAAATACCTAATAGACCTTTCTCCGGCCCCCACTCACCTGTCTTTGAAGAAAAAGATTTCACCCCTTATCTGAGCCACGGCATCAAAGACAAGATCTTGGCCACAAAGTTCAGGCGTGACTGGTCCAAGGGTTGGCTTTGGGCCTGGTCCAACATCAGTAGAACCCCCTGCAAATCAAGAAAAAGTCAACAACAAGGCAGACGTTCTTGTTGTAAGCGTAGAGGTCAAAAAGAGAAGCAATATAGTCTGGTAGTGCCAATAATAATAATAATAAAGTGTCTCATAACACAGAAGAGGAAAAGAAAAAGAAGGGGGCACCTGGTTTTCTTTACATGATTCACCAGGATTATTCTACCATGTTAGGTTCTCCTGGAAAAGCTTGAACACCAAGATTAATAATGATACGGAATCAAATGTTTCCGATATGTTTTAACCAACTGCGAGCTTCACCGTAAAGTTCCTGGATTCCTTGAACGTCGTCTTGAGAAAGACGGAAGTGCTTGGTATAGGTGTAAATGGGGGCCATGAGCGCACCAGGATCTTCAGAATGTTCCAGTCCCATTGCGTGGCCAAATTCATGAGCAGCCACCAAGAAAAGACTGTAGCCTGAAAGAAAATAAGTCAGCTTTTTATGGCTGCTAGATGGTATTGTCCATAGATCTCTTTGGAAAGTTAGTCTAACCACTTTTTTTTTTTTTTTTTTAAAAAAGCAGTTTATGGTACTTTGAAGACATCTAAGACAGAAGATGTAACAACTGCTCTGAACAATTGTCCATGATATTTGGATGCTGTAGCTCATTGCTAAACAATTTATCTGCTCGGAAGAAACGGTTGCAGAACTGAATGCATGATATTCTGTTATTCTGTTATATCATAATGGTGCAAATGAATCTAACAGAGAAAGGACTATGATCAATACCAAAATTTCAGTTTATTATTTCTAGTGCTTCAGCCTTTAGCCCCCTAATAGATACAAAGGGTACAAGGGAAACATGAAAACTATTATCTTTGATCTGTGCATACTGAATTGAAGACCATAACATATAATAAACCCCTTTCATGCAACGGCACATACAATCTTGAAGAAAGCATCATGTATGTGTATATATATACATCTGTAGAATTCGTTCCGATCTTTGGCTTAATGCCAGATCCTCAGGATGTGGGGATTATCACCCCAACTATATCCTTTCCTCCCTGCTTCATTTTCAAGCAAGCCCACCTAAATTACTAAAAAAAAGTGTAACCGTCAAACAAAGTTGTACGTTTTTAGTGTTAAGCCATGTTTTGCTGATAAACCATAGTTGCTGGTGTTCGTAACTTGCATGAAGTCATAAACCAAAACTTAGAAGTGCCAAAAGCTGGGTTCACAAAATATACCGAGTACTGTACAATTCAAAACTGACGATGAAGAGGCACATGGTATCTAAACTCTACTTTTCAGCCACATTCAAACATCCCTGATCCAGCTGTTGGGAAACTTTGTGAGAAGGAATGATTTACGGGTAACTTCACGCTTGACTCATTTGTGAGTTTCTTAGGCTGTTTTGGTGTTTTGTTTTTGCAATTCTTTCTGGACATTTGATGATCTCAACTATACTTCTGAGAATGAAGGAAGCTTGCAAGTGAAATGTTTTGATTCACGAAGGATGTGTTGAGATGCAATCTAAAACTTTAACCTATTTTGCTAGCTTTGAAACATAAGAAAGCGATGCAAGAGTGGGCTGTTTTGTAAGAACTGTGTTTTTTTATTCTTTGACCTCTGCTCTGTTTTGCTCCATTAAAACTACGGTGCATTCCTGGCCAAGTTTTTGATCCCTTGGAGGAATTGGAAGAAATGCTGTACATTTATAAAAAGGAGGAAGAGGAGAAAACTCTCTACCTTGATCTGGGCAAAATCCCCATTTGCGATCTTCATCATAGTTACTAGTTGTAGAGCACCACATCTTCCCGTCTTGACGTCCCGAAGTGGTACAAGAATCATATTTATTCCCAAGGAATATAAAAGGAAAAGCACAAGGTTGTCCTTCAGAGTTCCCACCAACGGTAGACATTGCTGCATTAAAATAAACAAAATCAGATCAAAGCAGGAACGGTTAATAGTATACTATCAAATTCTTGCCTTGTCATTCGGAAGTTTTATTGTCCTTATTATGAATGATTGCTTTGATTTCTAGGATCCTGTAATTTGTAGCTGATGACGCTGGAGAAGGGGATGGTAGGGCTGCGTTCCTCCAAACAAACTCATGCCAATTGTAGCAAAAATCCTCTTACCTGTCTCTGGACAAAATCCAAATTTCTTGTCCCGGTCATAATCTTCAGTAGTGCCACACCATCTATATCCATCTTGCCTTCCTTCTGTTGTGCAGCTGTCAAAGGATCTTCCCTCAAACATGAAAGGGAATTTGCACGGTTGCCCATCGGAGTTTCCACCCATGGTGAAAAGAGCTATAAAGGATAAGAGGCATGCAATTAAATCCATGGCAACATCTTTCCAAGTTGGCAACTGGATGCTAGAAACAAGACATTTTGTGAAAAGAATCTCATTCTGAAGGGTCCCTGATTGACATATGATTTATGTATAAAGCAAAATAAGGTGGGGGTGATGGTTTTCCTTTCTTTTCTCTCTAGATATAGAATTTTTGAAAGTTTTGGAAGTCTTCCTAACAGTAGTACGAACTAATGCAAACTATGGAGGAATTCTAGGAGTTGAAGTCCATGGATCTTAAAATTCCCAAAGTTGAGAAACACAGCTCTAGTCAATATCCAGCCTGCACTTTTTATCAGACTGTTTCTTCAAAAAGCTGAAGCTAGTTAAAGTGTGACACATCCACACATCACCACTATTCTTCACCACAACCTGTTGTAGCTGGTGTCTGTCATTCATGCAACAGATGCCATTCTTTGACTTTTCTAGATTGCTACTGATTTGAGAATGGGTTGCCTCAACCTTCGATCTACGTTCTTGTTTGGGCAGAAGACTCTTCTAGCAATGCTAGTTAAGATGCATGTCTGAATGTAGCAAGCATCTGAGATCCAAGACTTTGTTTACAATAGCTTTTCTTTGGCGAATGGAAAGGGAACAGAGGCTGTTTAAGACAGACATATTCATTTTCTAGGGAAGCAGTTTTGGGCTATAAACTTGGCCAGGGTTGGCCTTTAACAGCATATCTTATTAGTTTAACCACTGAACATTTAGGGGGGGGAAAGTATGGAAACTTAATGCAGTGTTTCTGGAAATAGTCATTGCCTCAACGTCCAAAGAAGGCTTTTTATGTTTAGTAAGCACAGGCACCGAAAGTTTCCAAATCCTCTGTTTCTCTTTTAGCAGCTTTTGACTAGCTTTGATAGCAGAGACAACTCTAAAACTGGAACAACCATAACAATAATTAAAAAGAGGATCTACTTTATTCAATGGGGGGAAATGCTGCAAGGCAGGATCTCAATTCCCAAAGGACAAAAGGTCTTATGATTTGTTCACACAATTTCCTTGTTTCACCATTCCAAGGGCAGTGAGGTTTTAGGAGGTTTCCCAAAACATTTATCCATGAAAGAAAAAACTTCTGTCTTTCTTATTTCCCTGTTTAACCAGCATTTCCAAGTTTAGTTCTAAGGTAACACACACAACGGATAGATCATCACACAGCCACAAGACGTAAAACAAAATAGGCAAGGAAAGAACAGTACAAATTAGTAATTCCTGGTGAATTTCAAGACAAAGACTTTCTCCAGTATGTCTGTATTTATAAGATTTACAGAGAGATAGGGCTTGTTTTTCTTTCTGCCAATAACATCCAAATGTCTGCAGTTACATTCAGCCCAGCTGGAGTTTCCATGGCTCTCTTTCTGAAGAGTTAGTCAAAAGTCAGAGGAAGGTTGGGGGAATATTTTGACACACAGATTTGTTTTTCTATATATATGATTGATGGTATTTAAATCCTGCCTTCCTATAGAGCGCAAATCAAAGAGTAAAAGCTGAGACACTAGAACTGTAACCAGTAATACATTACGAGTGACAGCCACACCATCATCCATGGGAATTAGCCCTGGTAGCTGGGACTTGTGAGTGTTGCGGTACAAAAAAATTGAATTGAGGGGCTGATTTATTGTTACATTTACCTGTGATATTTCTTTAAAAAGGGAAGGGATTAGTGAAGAAGGAAAGGGAAGAAATGAGTAGGGTAGGGTAGGGTAGGGTAAAGTAAGGAAAGAAAGAAAGAAGAAGGGAAGGAAGGAAGGAAGGAAGGAAGGAAGGAAGGAAGGAAGGAAGGAAGGAAGGAAGGAAGGAAGGAAGGAAGATGAGGGAGGAAGGGAGAGGGAGGGATGGAAGCAAGGAAGGAGGAAGGAGGGGAGGGAGGGAGGTCTCACATAAAATAACACTTCCTAAGGGTTTGGGGTTTTGCATCTTCAGAGAATCTATATAACCTTGGAGAAGAGACACCGCATGCGGTGGTGTGTAGGGACCTTTGAGTGAGATGAACTCTAACGCATTGACATTTAGAAGACTCGCTCTTGTCTGCTCTTGTAACATCTGCATTTCTTAGGCAGCTTTTAGAAAACAATGTTTTGGAATAATCATGTGAACAATGCCACTATTTGTCTAACAAGGACCATCTGTGGGTTTGTTGTTACTCAGTGATTCTGACAAAAAAAATGCGTCACACACAAAAGCTCCTGATCTGTCTCCAAAATCCAAGCCCTGGTGTTTCCAGTTTCTTCTTCGTTAAATGCAAAATATCTGCCAAGCCTCGCTACAATCTTCTAATTTTATGAACTCATTGCAAAAAACAAAACAAAACAAAAAAAACAACATAATCCTAGTTCCCAATATATCAAGGGGAAACCCTCTATTTTTAATAGAAAATTGTCTTCACGGTAGCCCTAGTGTACGGGTATCTTTGGTGTTAATATTTATTGTTTTTGGTTTTTTATCTGGTTCTTTGATGGATTGTAGGCTGCCTAGAGTTGCCTCTAGGCAAGATGGGTGGCATATAAGTCTAATATTAATTAAATCTCTGTGAGGTGGACAAGGCTGAATCTCAGTGGCCATTCCCGCGTTGGATGTCTGCTGGTCCAGATATAGCACACAAATGGGCATTTGCAGGATCCAATCTAGGTTGGTCACCAAGACCAGAAGTTTAGTTTTCTTCAGCTTTTGAACACGTGCTGGAGCCCAACTCCTGGGAACTTCTCTGCCTCCATTCTGGTGAGGGAGAAGTTCCCCCAGGATGGGCTCCAGTATGAATCTGAAAGCTCGGAAGACTAATCTGAAAGCTCACCAAGACTCTAGTCCTGGTGACTGACCCAGACTGGATCCTGCAACATTATCCCCTGGGATATGTATATTTGCCTTCATTCACGGGAAATGGACATTTGCTTACTATTATTTCTCTTTGATAACAGCCGAGCAGAGAAATGTCTGGTACGGAGAACTTGTGCAGTGATAAAGCTGGCATTTGGAGTTGGATGGTTTTTTCAGGAATTCTAGTTTCCTGCCCACTCATGATTCTAATTTCACCTCATCATTTCCCTGAGTTTTTAAATTCAGTGGCGTTTTGCAGCTCCTCCTCACCGTGCTGACCCTTTATCTTAATCACCTTGGACAAATTGTCCCTTGGGAGATCAGAGGAACTTATGGAAACTAGCACACCCGAAGATGGAGAAGAGTCAACGGTTCGTGTCTACCCTGTCATGAGACCATAAGACCACGCCCGATGAAAGCAGTCTGCTTAAATCCCCACAGCCATCCTTCAACTTACATTCATGGGGGCAGAATCCATATTTGCCATCTGTATCAAAGTTGTAGGTGGTCGAGCACCAGAGAAATCCATCACTTCGCCCTGCATCGGTGCAGCTGTTGTATTCCTTCTCACTAAACAGGAAGGGGAATTTGCAAAACTCTCCATCTGCATTGCCGTATTTCACCCTGACCACTTGGAAGGAGAAGACAGAGGACCCATCAGCAGAAAAATAACAGCAGCCAATGACAGTTGAGTATGTTCTGAAGCCAAAAGGGCTGCCTTACCTTGACCTTCACCCAGAGTCCAAAGTTCATCGTCATCAAAATGGGAATCACCTCCAACCCCTGGTCCAGGAGCAAAAGCATGGGCCAGAAGACCATCTTTACCATCAAAAGGATACCCATCACCATGCTCTGCAGAATAAGGAACAAAAACAAAATGGTGGATACTGGCATCATGATATCTTTGGGACAGGAGTACTAATTTAAGAGTTATTTTTGCGGTAGGGGGAAACCCGAGAATTGCACTGATGTGAGGGTAAATAGGATTCAAATTTACTAGCCCAAAAGGAGATGGATCAGAAAGGTACACATCCATTCACTCTTGAGCTCTTGAGTAGAAGGGCAGATGAACGAAAATGGATTTTGAAGGATCCAGCAAAGGCTTCTGTAATCCAGACTGTGATTTCTGAGAGCAACAAACGGGTTAACTTCATGAGATCTTAAGCAACACTTGAGAGAGGTGGAATTCCCTTATTTTGATCTTGTTTGTGTCCAGGATTGAGTAAAGCCATCCATTCCAGTGTCTATCAGTGATTAAGGAATCCAGTTGTTAATAGAATAACTAGAGTTTCACTAAACTAGACATACCCAACTCCTGCAACCGTTCTTCATATGTTTTAGCCTCCAGACCCTTAGTCATCTTTGTTGCTCTTCTCTGCACTCTTTCCAGAGTCTCAATATCTTTTTTCTAATGTTGCAAGTCTTCATGTTCTCCTTGGGCACAGAAACCTCCTTTATTTTACAGATTTATTTTTTCCTTTGAAAAGGAGGACTCCGGTAAGGGCATAACCCTTTCATTCACCACTTTTCTACTGGTGGTTCCTGAGGTTGCCTGTGGCTTCTTTGCCACCTTGCAGGTCAAAGGTCTGGTGGATTTGATTTGGAGCCATTTGAAACACACACTAGTGGGTTTTTATAGTGGGTTACTTATTCACTGGGGTCAAGCCAAGGCAAATTTTCTCAACCCAGAAGATCGCGTAGGAACCGAGATGCTGTAGTATTATTGGCCTACCCCATCGTCCGAAGTTGATCATGATATCTGCCTCTCCATCGTGAATTCGGGAGAATTCCAGAGGCGTGACATCACTCCAGACTTTGAAGGCTCGGGCAAACGCATCATCAACCGTTTCAGAATCCAGATCTGGGGTATAGCCTAAAATTCTTAGGACAAAAATAAGGATCATCAGCAACAATACAGAATGACACAGAGCTCCAACTCAATTCTATCTCATCTGGGCTGCAAAAAGTTGGACGGCCACCAGAGGGCAGCAGAAATAATTTCATCTGTTCTCTTGGGTTTCAAGCCCTGGAGGGGACCCATTTTGTTACTGCAGAATTATAGTTCTCAGTAATTCTCCCTTACATAGCCAGACAAGAGAACATTTAACGTCTTTGTGATAGACCTCACACACTTAATCCTGCACATAGACCCATTCGTTTAATGGTGCAATGGGCCAGAGTCTGCAGATAGCACTAGCAGATGCAGAAAGGGAATTAATTTCCAAAGCTATTCCTTCTGTTTCCCTTTCTCTCTTTTCTCCCTTCCCTTCACTCCCCTCTTGCCTGTCTCCATCGTCCTTTCTTTATCTCCGTCTCCCTTCTCCTTCTCCATTTCCCTTCTTCCTTCTTCTCCTTGTCTCCATCTCCTTTTCCTTCACTCTCCTCTTCCTCCTCTCCATCTCTTTTCTCTTCACTTTCCTTCTTCCTTTCCCTATCTCCCTTCCCTCTCCTTCTCCTTCTCCATTTCCCTTCCTTCTCATTGTCTCCATCTTCCTTCCCTTCCTTCTTCTCTCTTTCTTCATCTCCTTTCTCTTCACTCTCTTTCTCCTTCCTTCTCCACCTCCTCACCCCCATTCCTCCTGTTTTTTTTTAAATTTCTGATGGTGAATAAAATCCCTTCCTTCCTTCCTTCCTTCCTTCCTTCCTTCCTTCCTTCCTTCCTTCCTTCCTTCCTTCCTTCCTTCCTTCCTTTCCTTTCCTTTCCTTTCCTTTCCTTTCCTTCCTGGGGGTGAGGGGAGAAGGAATCTGCATTCTTGAAAACATCACTCTCTAATCTTCCTGTACCTGCGTTTGCAAATTTATCTGCTGAATCATCCTGAACTGACTAGGATCTGCAAAACTTGACCAGTCAGCTTGGAATAACTTTAGGCATCCTAAAATTTAACCCTCTTTTCAAGCAGACAAAAGAAAACTCCCTTGTTAGCTGTGTGTTATATACAAAACTCTGTTTCATTGGATTTGCTCCCAAATCATTTGGCCAATTTGCTTTTTGTTCCACAGCTAATTCCTGGCCAGTCAAGTCATCTCAATGAGGTGCAGAAAAGGAGGGCGCTTGTAAACACAGAGATGGAATTTAATTTTTTTTTAAAAAAAGTATATTTCTTCTGCCTGAACCTTATGCAAGCAACGGACTACGAAGAGCCGTTTCAAATATCTCCTTCCCTCGTCACCCTGTAATTTCTGCTCGACTCTGTTGCTGCAGACACAACACGGCTGCGGGGTTAATATCATCTCCAGCTCAAAGTGGCCAAATCAAAAGTTCTAAGAAGAGAAAGGCAGACATATTGGAGCCTGTGGTATGTTGTTCCATGAAGTTCAACAGAATGCAAGTTTTAAGGTTTTTTTTTTCCTTAAAGAAAAAAAGAGAGAGAGATTCTATTCTTAAAAATGACAGTGTTCTGGAAGGATGCTGCAAGCTTTCAAATAAGAAGACGGCCCTTTTCTTAAAGAATAGTCAGTGGAAGGATGAAGTTGGCTCTCTTTGGCATGGAGGACCCCTTGTCTCCACTAAAGTTTCTGGAAAGACCTACAGCCTATAGAATGTGATATAATAGAGTTGGGAGGGACCTTGTTGGTCATCTAGTCCAACCCCCTGCACAACCAGGAAACCCTATATCATTTCAGACACATGGTTGTCCAGCCTTCAGTGATGGAGCACCCACAACCTCTGAAGACAAGCTATTCCATTCTTGAATTGCTCTCACCATTAGGAAATTTTTCCTTAGTTCTAGGTTCTAGTTTCCAACCACTGTTTCTGGTCTTGCCTTTTGGTGCTTTGGAAAATACTTTGACCCCCTAATCTTTGTAAGAACCCCTCAAATATAGGAACAGTACTATCACATCCCCTCTAGTCCTTTTCATTAAACTAGTCATACTCAATTCCTGTAACCGTTCTTTTATATGTTTAAGCCTCCAGCCTGCTAATCATTTTTTCTGCAGTTGCCAACCCCTTGCATAGAGTTCACAGCTGATCTATAGATTTATGGACTGTCACATAAACGTTGTGAGTACTACGAGGGATTCTGTCTTCCTCTAAAAACACTGAGAACAATAAACAATAGAGTAGAAATCTTTACTTTTCTACTGGTTTCCTTGCTGGGCAATTGCATGCATAGGACCAGTGGAGAAAACAAATATTGGATCTTCAGGAAACACTTTCAACCTCTACCAAGTCATAGATCACTGCATTTGGAGATGGAAGCTCCTCTAAAAGCTGATGATCGTTCCTCCATGTGGTTGGAACAACTAGAAGATCCATGTTTTCCTTCTTGGGGTAATTATGTTCAGAAGACACTGTGCCAGTTGGTACCTACCTATATGTGACCAGGTTTTTCTCCCATTTTGGTTTCCTGGGGAAGAAATTATAATTGGCCACATCTGGGTTGCCACACCTGGGCTTTTTCATGGTTTCTATAGTGTTTTGGTCCAGTTCACCAGTCTGAGGAAGCCCAAAGAACTTCTGCATTTTCACCAAAGTGTCCTTCAGGACTAGTAGGTTGCAATTATCTTTGGGACATCCATAATACTTGTTGAGGTATTGCTTTTGGAGAGAAGAAAAGACAGGCAGTGAAAATGGAAAGAAAGAAAGAAATGGATCTCAATCTCTACCTCTCTTGTTGAAAAAACAAACCAAATTTTCAAACGTTGATCCCCCCCCCACCCAAAGATCAGCCCTACAGTTGCCTAATTCTGCATTTGTCTTTGGCCCAATTGGCTAAATGAATCTGTCGGCGTGTCTCATGTTAATTAAGTCATCTCTGAAGCTGATGTCAACATCAAGACTAGGATGGGCAATGAACTTTTGCTTTGTATAATAATATGATAGAAGAGTGTCTTGGGGTGACAAAAGGTAAAGAGGGGAGCCAGGATCCTGCACAAATCGATCCCAAACATAAACCCAAACAGGCAAAGGTTCAGTCATTCCATCATGGCTGCCACTTGGGCTTTTTGACCATAACTTGAGTTCACCTTGATGATATCTATGGTTGGGAATAACAGCTAGGTCAGTGGTGGCAAACCTATGGCATGCGTGCCAGAGGCGGCACTCAGAGCCCTCTCTGTGGGCACGCGTGCCTTCGCCCTAGCCCTGCCTCCCCCAACGGCTCCCTCCTCACCAACAGCCCCCCCCAGAGAGTCGCCCCCGGGCACAGCCCACACAGAGCAGCGCAGCCAAGGACATGGCAGCTGGGTAGTGGGGACAAGACTCCGCCCTTGTGCTCCGTCATGTGCAGATGATGCTGCAGGGCGTGGGTGGAGTGTGTGGCCACCATGGCGTTGCTGGGCCGCCTGGATGAACTGTTGCAGTGGGCCGTGGAGGTGGGTGGCCCTGTGGGCAGGCGGGGCATGGGGTGGCGGGCAGGGCGGGGGCGGGGTGGTTTTGGGGCACTCGGTCTCTAAAAGGTTTGCCATCACTGAGTTAGGTCAAAGGCTTTGAACAAGAATAGAAGGGTCAACTCTAGTCTTGAGTTAGTCCTTCATTCTTAATGTTCTGCAGTCTTTCGCCCACTTTACATGGAGACTTTGCAACTTTCAGCCTTCCATGAACAACCCTAGCGGGGGGGGGGAGAACCTGTTGGTCTTGAAACTACAGTAATCCTCGGCTTACGACTACACTTGGGACCAGAATTTCCACTGCTAAGCAAGTCGGTTGTTAAGTGCCTGACAAGATCTCCTCTTTTTTGCCACACTTGTTAAGCGAATCACTGCAGTTCTAAGGGAATCATGTGGTTGTTTGGTGAATCCAGCTTCTCTCATTGACTTTGCCCCCGGGAAGGTTGCAAACGGAAATCACGTGATCTCCAGGATGCTAGACGTGCTGGTTGCCAAGGGCCAAATTTTTCTTCACATGACTGTGAAGAGGATTCAGTGGTTGTGGACGCAAGGACCGGTTGCAAATCACATTTTCCAATGCCATTGTAAATCTGAGCGATGGCCAAACGAACAATCATAAGCTGAGGACTACCTGCTCACCATTAATATATATCTTCTATGCGACAACGTCTGTTGCTTGCCCTCCTCAGAAGGGTGGGAACTCAAATCCAGTGATAGTTAGAAGAAGAGAGCGTTTTAAAAAGGTATTTACCATCACTTTTCCTCCTACAAGGGCAGATTATCTACACCCAGTGGTTCATGCCTATAATCATCAGAGCTTTATTCAGAATTCAATGCAATTTAATTATAGAGGCAAATTAATAGAGCTTGCTCTTCAGCTACAAGCTAAAGTCCAGAGTCCAGTAACCCAATGGGACTAGGATTTGAGGGGTTCTTGGTGTTCTTTGAACTTGGTTATTTTCTTGCAGAAGTCTTATTATCCAAACCAGGTAACATCATCAGTGCTAGTGATAAACTAGCAACTAGCATTGATCATGTTGCCTAGTTTGGGTAATGAAACGTCTGCAAGAAAACCACCAGGCTCAGAGAGCACCAAGGATCTGACAGTTCTTCTTCTCTTCCTCTTCCTCTTTCTCTTCCTCTTCCTCTTCTTCCTCCCTTCTCCTCCTCCTCTCTGCAAACCCCTCTCCCTTTTAGCACTGATGATGCTACCTAGTTGGGTAATAAAACGTCTGTAAGAAAATCACCAGGCTCAGAGAGCACCAAGGACCCCTCATTTCAACCCTGAGCTATAAATATTCTCCTTTATCGGTACTAGAATTTGAATCCTGCAATTTGACTGCAGTGTTATATCATGATGAAGCTCAAGAGAAAACAGAGGAATTTACACAATAAAGTAACCCACTCTTCGTTGGAGGTTTCTTATTTTTATTCTTTTTTACATTGGGGTTTTTTTATTGTTTGCAAGCTGCTCAAGAATCCCTGTGAGTGAGTGGGCAAGCATCTACATCTTCTAAGTAAATAAATAAACTCTCAGCTACTACTGTGCAAGTCAACGAAGCGTGTTTCTCCTAACTTATTTTCTAGACAGTCAACTTTTAAAGAGTCACTGAACAGATGAGGAATCGTAATTATAATACGAAACATTTTATAGGCCCCCTCTCCAACAGATTTGCTACAAACATAACTCTGGCAGAGCTCTAAGGGGCAATTACTGCCTTTCAAGATGAGTTTTGGGACTTGTTAGTAAGTTGGCTGAAAAATTAAGCTTTAAATAGTAAGTGGGCCTCTCCGACTATGCATAAGTAATACATTAAGAAAAAAACAGAGCAAGAAAATCATCCAGATGGAAGTCCCGATTCTTAAAGCTTATATTTTATACACACGTAAAAGAGAAAAAAACAACAACAACTTACAAGCAAATTACAGGTCATCCTGGAAAAAAAAAACTGTAGGGTTTGCTTCAGATTTGTTTATTCAAGCCTCAGAAATCTCGTGATAGACTTTCTGGAGTGAGATTGCTCAAAATTACACTGTTTTGACTTGGCTTTACAAGAAAAAGAAAGAAAGAGAGAGAAAGGAAAAGAAAGAAAGAAAGGAAAAAGAAAGAGAAAGAGAAAAAGAAAGAAGCTTTTCTACAAGAAAGAAAGAAAGAAAGAAAGAAAGAAAGAAAGAAAGAAAAAGAAAGAAAAGCTTTTCTAAGACCAAGAAGTCAGTCGGTCTGCCAACTATTTTTTGATCTCTGGTCTGTAACTTTGGAAGGAGATATGGATCCAGATCTTGCACAGAAATTGCAAACTATTTCAACAACAACAACAACAACAACAAGCTCAACTTACGAATGCCAATTCTTTGTCAGTTTTGGGGGAAACGTCACCTGGAAACCTAATGATGGGTGATGGGATCAAGGCTACGTCTTCCGATTGCCTGAAGGTGGGCGGTGGAGGTGCAGAAGCTGTATTTAAAATGGAGAGCAGGATCAGAAGGATTTTTAAAACGCAGTCCACAATCCTGAAAGAAATGTTTTCCTTCATCTTCTCCAGTTTTTTCTCTTTCCTTGTAGACCTGCACGGTCAAGGATACCTTGGGGAGAGAGAGTGGAGTTGTAAAACCTCTTTGCTCCGTTTTTTTTATGAACACATCCTCACTCTCTTCAGAGCTTTTTCACTTCTGCTTGCTCCAGCAATTCCTTTGTATGCTTTCAAACATCCCCAGATGCGCAGGCTCCTAAGCTGCTGCCAAAGGAAGTCTGAAGGAAAGAAAAAACCAGATGTGGACTCAGTCAGGCTGGATGTGGTTTCCCCCCCACCACCACCACCACTTTTTAAGGTAGCTTGTGCAAACTATTATCTTAAAGGAAAGCCAGAAATCAGGAGAGACTAGACGAGCATTAATTAAGATTAACCCTGGAATGAATGAAATGAATGCCTAGGAAAAAAGTTGCTCTACTTCTGCAGTTAGATGTTAAATAAGGTCGCAGGCTGGGAGAGGAATCAAGGAATCTTTCCATTGTGTTTTTTAGAAGCTACAAAAAGCAGGTTTAGTCTGACACCAAACTACAGGAGAGTTTGTCTTCTCTTTTGACCTGGGACAGATCAACTGAAACCATCTCAAAGGAATCAACTACGGGGTGGGTGGATAAATCTGTAGGTTGAAGGTGTCCTTAAATGCTTGAATTCTTGAAATAGGCATTAAGGTAAAGAATAGCTGGATCAATAACCCATTTGATTATCTTCGTAACTTCTTTGCAAATTTAACAGGAAATGCCTTTCTCTCTTGCTAATAAAGAGGCCAAAGAATTTTGTTCTGTTTTATTTTATGGTAGGACAGGAGCCTGATGGCTCAGTGGTTAAAAGATGCTGAGCTTCTCAGCTGGAAAGCTGACAGTCCAGGTTCGTGACCGGAGCGTTGCATGACAGGGTGAGCTCCCATTCCTTATCCCAGCTCCTGCCCACCTAGCAGCTCAAAAACATGCAAACGTGAGTAGATAAATAGGTACCACTTTGGTGGGACAGTAACAGTGTTCCATGCACCTCTGTGTATATAGTCATGCTGGCCAAATAATCATGGAAGCATCTTCAGAAAAGTCTGGTTCCCTTGGCTGAAAAACAAAAATAAGCACCTTTCCTTCCTTCCTTCCTTCCTTCCTTCCTTCCTTCCTTCCTTCCTTCCTTCCTTCCTTCCTTTCTTTCTTTCTTTCTTTCTTTCTTTCTTTCTTTCTCCTCTTACAATTCTGTTACTTAATTTGAAAAGTCAAGACTTTCTCTTTCTTTCTTTCTTTCTTTCTTTCTTTCTTTCTTTCTTTCTTTCTTCCTCTTACAATTCTGTTACTTAATTTGAAAAGTCAAGACTTTCTTTCTTTCTTTCTTTCTTTCTTTCTTTCTTTCTTTCTTTCTTTCTTCCTCTTACAATTCTGTTACTTAATTTGAAAAGTCAAGACTTTCTCTTTCTTTCTTTCTTTCTTTCTTTCTTTCTTTCTTTCTTTCTTTCTCCTCTTACAATTCTGTTACTTAATTTGAAAAGTCAAGACTTTCTCTTTCTTTCTTTCTTTCTTTCTTTCTTTCTTTCTTTCTTTCTTTCTCCTCTTACAATTCTGTTACTTAATTTGAAAAGTCAAGACTTTCTTTCTTTCTTTCTTTCTTTCTTTCTTTCTTTCTTTCTTTCTTTCTTTCTTCCTCTTACAATTCTGTTACTTAATTTGAAAAGTCAAGACTTTCTCTTTCTTTCTTTCTTTCTTTCTTTCTTTCTTTCTTTCTTTCTTTCTTTCTCCTCTTACAATTCTGTTACTTAATTTGAAAAGTCAAGACTTTCTCTTTCTTTCTTTCTTTCTTTCTTTCTTTCTTTCTTTCTTTCTCCTCTTACAATTCTGTTACTTAATTTGAAAAGTCAAGACTTTCTCTTTCTTTCTTTCTTTCTTTCTTTCTTTCTTTCTTTCTTTCTTCCTCTTACAATTCTGTTACTTAATTTGAAAAGTCAAGACTTTCTCTTTCTTTCTTTCTTTCTTTCTTTCTTTCTTTCTTTCTTTCTTTCTTCCTCTTACAATTCGGCTATTTCACTTGGAAAGTCAAAATATCCTCTCTCTCTCTCTCTCTCTCTCTCTCTCTCTTTTTTCTTTCTTTCTTTTTTCAACCTCTTACAATTCAGCTACTTAATTTGAAAAGTCAAGACATCCTTCCTTCTTTCCTTCCTTCCTTCCTTCCTTCCTTCCTTCCTTCCTTCCTTCCTTCTTTCTTTCTCTTACAATTCTGCTACTTAATTCACTTCACCACCTTATCCCTGAGTTATGCTGCCTGGCTTTGGCAAGTGAGCTAACAAGGTCAGCATTTAATTGTTTGTTATGTGTTTTCCACAAGAAACTATCCAGATCACCATCTGATTTTAACTGGACTGGCTGAAAACTTCCTGACCTTCATAGAGTTCTGTTTCCTATTGCAACATCAATAGAAAGTTAACAAAACAGACAGAATAGAGTAGACTTCTCAAGAGGAAAAAAAAAGGCTGATAAAACTATTATATATTTTGCTTCTTAAGCTCTGGCATTCTTTCCATTTTACTTTTTAATTATTGTTTCACTATTTATAAAGAGCATGCCCTAGAGCTTATCAACACAGTCAGGAAAAAAGGAGGTCAAGATCATATCAGTGACAAAAAATAGTTTTTTATTCCCAAGAGTTGACATCTGGATTTAAAGGCCACCAAATACTCAGGGTCACTTTGCGGTTAGTCTAAATGCTTTACATTCCCCAGATGACCACATCTGCTTAAATCAACAACAAATTGTGATGTATTATGGACTGAGTACTATCAGGACATATTATCTTGAAATAACATATGGCTGTCACTTGGGGCATAAAGCAGCTGGAAGACTCAAAGCTACCATTTTCATTTCCCACAATGCTTTCAACGATGCAGTTCACCAGAGGATTCTGGGAAATTAAAGCAGTGGTTTAACTCGGGTTGCTTCAGTTCCATCTTGCTGTGGTTAATTGCTGGCTCATCAAGGTTGAAATCTTCTCCGTAAAGAATATTTGAACTGCTCATTGATAGATTCTGCCTATTCAACGTCTTCTTTGAGTTAAACTCAGATCTCAGTGACTTTGTGCAGAATAACAGAAGAACAGAATTGGAAGGGACCTTGGAGATCTTCTAGTAGTGCAACCCCTGATAAAGTAGGAAACCCTATGCCATTTCAGACAGATGTTTGTCCAATGTCTTCTTAAAAACCTTGAATGTTGGAGCATCCACAACTTCTGGAGACATGTTGTTCCACTGATTCATTGCTCTCATTGTCAGGAAATTTCTCCTTAGTTCTAGGTTGCTTCTCTCCTTGATTAGTTTCCATCCATTGCTTTTTATCTTACCTTCAGGTGTTTTGGAGGTTGACCCCCTCTTCTTTGTAGCAGTTGCTACATATGACCATGTGTATGTATATGTATGTACATATGACCATTTAGATATAGTGTCATGTCACTTTCCATGCCACCTCTGAAACAGTTCTGGTTTGAAATATTTTTGGAAGGGGGAGCAATATAAAGCAACTTGGGCCTCTAAAGGAAAGCTGTTGCAGAGGACAGGTATGGCCACTGAAACATAGCATCTGTGAACCTCAGCTCTGCTTACTTCACAAAAGTGGTGTTGCTCCTGGAGTGTTGATTGTTCAGTTGGGTTGGTTGTGATTGGAAGCCTTGAAGGGGCTTGTGAAGGGGCCGATGTTAGCGTGGGCACGAAATGTCGGACGAGATATAAATTTAGAGGAATGGGAAAGATTATGGAACATAAATTGCAAATTGACGCTATCAACTGCATACAGAGAGAATCAATATAAAATGATTTATAGATGGCATTTAACACCAGCGAGATTGGCCAAAATGCATAAAAATATAGACCCGAAGTGCTGGAAATGTAAAATTAGAGAAGGAACATTTTATCATATGTGGTGGCTGTGCCCCAAAGCAAAAAAACTATTGGGAACGAATAAGAGATTGGATACAGGAGATAATTGAGATACAAATAGACTTCAAACCAGAATTATTTCTTTTGGGCATAATAAATTTAAAGATTGAAAAACAACTCCAACATATCATTATACACATATTGACTGCAGCTCGTATAGCATATGCTCAATGTTGGAAGAGTGAAAATACACCCATAAATGAAATGATTATATACAAAATTTTGGAATGCGCAGAAATGAATAAACTTACGTTAGAATTAAAAGATAAAGAGGCAACAGAATTTTATGAAATTTGGAATAAATGTTATAATTGGCTAGAACAGAGAAAGAAAAAGATATAATTATTGATGTAAATAAGATGTAAAGAATGGTTAAAATGTATAGCCCTGTTCTGTTAACAGAAAAGATTTATGTTTATGTATTTTAAGTTTATTTTGGTGTATGGTGTATGGTGAAAAATAATAAAAAAATTTAAAAAAAAGAAAGTATGTCAGTGCCATTATGTCCAATGCGTCTCCATCCTCAAATATGACCCAACAATGGTCATGTAACAATCTGAATTTTGGTGAATTTGAACAAAAAGACAAATCAGGAAGGAAGGAAGGAAGGAAGGAAGGAAGGAAGGAAGGAAGGAAGGAAGGAAGGAAGGAAGGAAGGAAGGAAGGCAGACAAGGAAGTTCTCTGATGTATCAAGTCTAAATTGACAGGCTTCTAGTAATCTATCTAAAAGATGCAGCAGTGAACAGGAAAGAAGGAATTGTTCCCAGTACATAAAACTCAACACAAAGCTCTTATGAAAGGAACAGACACTTTGTGGCTTTTCAGAATGAGTCACAATGGTAACAAGCTCAAATGCAAAGGCCAACAAAGAGGGTTTTTCCAGGACTTCCTTGGCACCATGTTTGGGTGAAAGCATGAGATTTATCCAATCCAGCTGGAAGATAATTACGTAAGTTTTTTTTTTCTTTTTGGTAATCGAAGTTGATTAAATCCAAGAGCAAATTTTGAAGAGAAGGATCTGTTGCCTGTGGAAAGCAATTTTTTCCAAGGACCAGCATCCAAAATTTTCATTGTCCCGCTTCCTGCTTGTGCTGGCACCAATGGCTAGGGACATAAGTTTCATCTTTATGGATTAGGATGAAAGGAAGAAGAGGAAGAGGAAGGAGAAGGAGAAGAAGGAGGAGGAGGAGAAAAAGAAAGAAAGAAAGAAAGAAAGAAAGAAAGGAGAAAGAAAGGAGAAAGAAAGAAAGAAAAGAGAAAGAAAGAAAAAAACAAGAAAAGAGAAAGAAAGAAAAGAAAGAAAGAAAGAAAGGAGAAAGAAAGAAAGAAAAGAGAAAGAAAGAAAAAAACAAGAAAAGAGAAAGAAAGAAAGAAAGAAAGAAAGAAAGAAAGAAAGAAAGAAAGAAAGAAAGAAAGAAAGAAAGACTCTGTACAACTCTTCAAGAAGACCATATCTAGTTTGCCAATGTGCTTTGTTTTCTGGACTTCCTTTTCTTGCTTATGAGTTACAACACACACACATGGACACAAAACCTATATTGTTTGATCATGAGATGTAGAAACACTCAGAAAAGTAGCTGTTCTCTATTTTTGGATGACTGGTATATTGTCTGTAATTTGGACATACTAGCCTGGGAGACAAGCCAGCACATGCAACATTTTCAGGTTTTTGAAAAGTTTAGTCAGCGTCTGGGAAAGAGCGGTAGAAATCCAAAACGGGTGAAAACTTTTTTTCCAGAGCAAAGAACAGTGAAGACCCACCCACTTTTCTTTTTTTTTTCAACATCCTGAATACTAATAGCAAATTTAGATGAACAAATATCATTGATTCAGCACAAAAAAAAACCCAGCAGCCTTATGCCCAAGAAAGGCATACATTGTTTGGATTCAAACTCTCCCATATTTTAAGGAGAAAGAATCTGGAAAAAGGAGAAATGGCCTTTAAATCCAATAGCCAGGAAATGGTTTTCAAAAACATGGTCTATGTGTTCTCCTCTCTACGTTTATAGTTCCACATTTAGTCAGCTGATACAATCAACTGCTTTCCTAAGTAAAACTGGTTAAATGTGGAAAATGGCATACAACCAGATCTTTCTCTTGACTCTTCTCTCCTCTGCTTGAACTTGGACATCTGATTTTAATTAAACAAAAAAATAATAATAAACCTCTTCCTTACCAAGCAGATATCCTACAACACAGCAGTGAAATTCAAGAGCTTAGGTGGCATTTAATCCTATGTCAGACATAGCTGTCTATAAACTGGATCTTTTTGCTGCTTGAAGGAGACCAACTCTTATGAACTTCAAGAAAAAGGTGAAAGAGTGAGAAAGTATCAGCAAAATTAGGTAGGTTGTGTTACATTCCC